CTATATCTCTGTTCTCTGGCTACTATGGTGGTGGGTCTATACATATATAATATATATATTATATATGTATATAATATATACAATGTATATTCTATATAATAAGAGTTATTTCCATCACTCTTATTCAGAAAGGGTAGAGCTAAATTGGTTTAGTACTTTGGAGCTCCCCCCACCTTTTTTTTTTTTTGTAAGGGGTTAAGTTTGGAGATTCATCTTCCTTGAAATATATTCATTCTCTTTTCTCTGGTGGATGTTTATTGCACCTGCATAGTTCACGTGAACACCCTCTCTGCCCACTTTGCCTTTCCCCATTTTCTTCAGATCTTTAAGTTTCACTTTCTTCCCTTTTGTTGCCCTACCTACTCATCTCCCCTGTGATCAATCTTAAAATGTTGCTGCAGTTTTGTGTTTCCCCTTTGGGACCTGACCTGTCTGCCTGTCCAAATGATATATTCCATTGCAGGACCTTTTCTAGTCAGTTTTATTAGATGTCTGTCAATGATGATCTCAAGTATTTATTTTTAGTTGATGAAATTGTCTGCTGTCACCATTTCTTTTTCAGCTTGACTCCACTACAAGCTACTTGGCCTACAAGCTTCATAAGGGACAACTCTTTATAACTATCTTTTAAAATAGTTAGCAAAGTGTGGTGGTAGCATGCCTGTACTCTTAAGTGATTCTCAAGGCTGAGACAATAGGATAACAAATTTGAGTCCAGCCTCTGATTCTTAGTAAAACCCGATCTTTTTTTCTTTTTTGGTACTGGGGATTTAACCTAGGGGTGCTTTACCACTGAGCCACATCCCCAGTCATTTTTTATTTTTTATTTTTTAAATAATTTTTAGACAGGGTCTTGCTAAGTTGCTGAGGCTGGCCTTGAACTTGTGATCCTCCTGCCTCAGTGTCCCAAGTCATAGGGATTACAGGTATGCACCACCTCATCTGGATCCTTTTCATTTTTTTTTTTTTGATTTTAAGATAAGGTCTTATAAACCAGGCATGGTAGCAAACTCCTGTAATCCCAGCAACTTGGGAGGCTGAGCCAGGAGGATCCTAAATTTGAGCAACTTAGCAAGGCCCTAAGCAACTTAGTAAGACCCTGTCTCAAAATTAAAAATAAAAAGAACTAAGGATGTGGTTCTCAGTGATTAAGAGTTCTTGGATTCAATCTCCAGTACAAATTATTAAAAAAAAAAAAAAAAGAAGGAAAGAAAGAAAGGGAGGAAGGGTGGGAGGGGCTGGGGATTGAGGATGTAGCTTAGTGGTAGAGTTCTACTGGTTCAATTCCCAGTACTGCAAAAAAAAAAAAAAAATTGACATATTCTTTGTACATACTTATTGAGTACAGTGTGGCATTTCAATACTTGTATGTAATGTGTAATGATCAGATCAGGGTAATTGGAATTTCTACCACCTCAAACATTATTTCATTATACTGGTAACATTCAAGCTAGCTATTTTGAAATGTACAATCAATTTATTTCCACCATAGTTACCCTACTGTGCTATTCCTTCTGTCTAACTGAATGCTTAACTATCTCCTCTCCATTCTCCTTCCTCCTATTCTCTTCCCGGCTTCTTGTAACCACTATTCTGCTTTGAACTTCTATGAGATTAACTTTTTTAGTTTTCACATACAAGTGAGACATGCAGTATTTGTCTTTCTGTGCCTGACAATAAGTCACCTGACAGAATATTCTCTAGGTTCATCCATTTGTCACAAATAGTAGGAATTCATTTTATCATTGAATAATGTTTTGTTGTGTGTATGTACCATATTTTCTTTATCCATTCATTTGTTGATGGACACTTAGGCTGTAAATCTTTGCTGTTGTGAATAATGCTGCCATCAACAGTGGCATACAGATGTCTCTTCCATATTCTAATTTCCTTTGGAAATATGCACAATAGTAGAATGACTGGATCATCTAGTAGATCTATTTTTAGGTTTGATGATCCTCCTTCTTTAGTTTGGATCTTGAATGTTTCCCGAAGGCCCACCTTAAAGGCTTAAAAGGCTTGATCTTTAGGGTAGTGCTGTCAGGAAATGGTGGACCCTTTAAAGGTGGGGCCTATTAAGAACTCTTTTCTGGGGAGTGTGCCCTTGAAGGGGATTGTGGAACAGTTAAGTCTGATTCATTCTACTGTCTTTTTTCTATTCCCATCCTTCCTTCTTTTCCTTTCACTTCTGAACTTCTATTCCTCCCTCCCCCCATTATTGTGTGTTAGCATCCGCATATCAGCCTTTGGTTTGGGGGGACTGGCTTATTTTACTTAGCACAGTAGTCTCCAGTTCTATCTGGCAAAAGTTATAAAGTCATTTTTTTAAATGTACCCACTGCCACTTTCAATATGTGCCCTGGTAATGGGTAGTAATGACCAATCTATCCATACAACTTATGATTTTCAGATTATATCTTTTATTATTTGTCCTTTAATGTGTGCTAGTCTTAATTTATTTGGTGCATTGCTTGGCATCTTTCAATTCATTTTTACCTGGATATTCCTCATATATCTCACTAGGAAGCAGTTTCTCCATCCCCAAACTTGGTTTGACTTCTGCTTTTCTGTGTTAAAAGACAGGACTTTGTGAAGTCCCTTCTGCCTTTTACTGAAAACTCCCATCTCAGCCAGTCAAAACTGAGGGTTGTTGGGGCAAAGGCAGGAAGGAATTTGTAACTGAGATTTGTCATCCACTGTGTCAGTTCTGCATTGCCTGTTGGCGCTGTGCTGTGTGCTCTGTATACGAGAAAGATGATTTGATTCCCTTAGGCCTGTGTCAGACCATGTGTTTTCCTTTGAGTATTAGCCTTAATTCCACATTCCAATTAATTACATAATAATATAATAAATACTTATGAAACTCCTTCAACACTCAGCTAAAATATTATAAGCAATGGCTCTCCACTGACTTGTTCTCCTGCATTCCCCTCAGAGTAATTGGCATGTGGTTTTCATTATCTATTTAAAAAGTTTAATAAATAAATGAATGAAAAAAAATAAAAAGTTTTATCGTACATGCATATATTGATGCATAAGCAATATAATGTTCTATTGAGCTTGAGTTTAAATCTAAAGAATTCACATTATATATGTTATCTTCTGGGAATCGTTTTTTCGAGTTAACATTGTGTTTCTAAGATTCAGTATCTTGTGACGTACATTATGGTTATTCATATTCATTGATGAATAAGTGAGTAATATCCTTGTATTCTGCTATATAAGCAGTGCTGCTATGAATATTGGTATAGATGTCTCTGGGGACACATGTAAGAATTTCCCTTGCAGTCTGGGTGTGTTGTTCAGTGGCAGAGTATTGCTTATTATGTCAGGGCCCTTGGTTTGATCCCCACCAGTAGAATAAACTAAAACAAAACAAACAACCAAAACCCCAGAACACTTGGAATTTTGGGGTTGAGGTTGAGTGGATGTTTAACTTTAAAAGATAATGCCAATTTTTTTTCCAAAGTGATTATACCATTTTATGCCCCCATCCTTGTAGTAGATAAAAATCCTATTTATCCAGGTCCCCTGGATCAGAATTTTTTTCTGTGCATATTTTTAATTGACACATAAGATTACATATTTATAGATTACAACATTACATTTCAGTACATGTTTATAATGCATAATGATCAAATTCTATTAGAATTCCTAATTGTTACCAGTTGAATAGTGTAAATTGCTATCTCATTATGGTCCTGATTTGAGTTTGCATGTCTATTACTTAAGCAGTTATTTTTTTATAAAATTAAAATTCTGGAACACTTTTATAATTCTTCCATGTCAAGTTCCAGAATTTTAATTTTATAAAAAAATAACTGCTTAAGTAATAGACATGCAAACTCAAATCTTTTGATTTATTGACATTTTCAAGGGCAAGTTTCATGAAAGAGGTGAGTCTGGAACTGAGTTTATTAAAGATGAGAGGGAATAGTTTGAAACAAGGGATATCTTGAAGCACAGCAGGTTGTACACAAAAGATCAACTGGTAACATAGAATGTAAGTTTATGTGAGTGTGTGCTGCTTATAGTCCTTTGCACACACTCACATCCTCTTTCCCCAAACTCTTGATTTTTTTTTCCAAACTCTGATCTTTTTTGTACAACCTGCTGTGTGGCAGTGACGTGGCTGCTACCTAGTGGAGATTTGAGGGAAGTGCGTAGTGTCTTGGTATCCATGGTTATGAATTTGTTGTAAAACACATGAGAGATCCTTCCTGGAATTGCATGCTGGGGAGAATTTACAGGTGTCAGGTCTGTGTTGTCAAGAGGAAGTAAAGAAGTAGAATAATTTGAGTACTGTAGTTTTTATGTCCTCATCCATGCAAACCTTTGGTTTGCATGGAGAAGTGCTCAGTTGTATTCTGTCAAGAACCAATGCTCCTCTGGGCCTGGGGAATGTGTGTCTGTTGAATGTGTGTCTGTGAACCACCACATCCACAAGTGGAGAGACAGCTATTCCTCACATTAGGATACAATTAATTAATTATTTGAATAGCTCTGTGCATAAAGTGCACAGGAGCATAGACAACATCTAGGCCTTCCTAAGGACCCAGCACAAGCTTCCCAGAAGACAGAACATTTTGTTGGAACTTGGATGTCTGTAGGAGTATCCCAGTAAGTTAGAGGTGTGGATAGCAAGGAATTTGCTGTGAGAAGCCTTTAAGCTGTGGAAGTGACAGTTGGGGATGGGAGTGAGGAGCAAAGAGACACTGGGCTTCTCATCTGGTCCCCTTGGTGAATGTTAGTTACATCATTTACCAAAAAGAGAATCTGGAGGTGGGGAGAAGAGTTCAGTGTTAGGGTATGACAGTCTACTCTGGAGAAGAACAAATGGAAACGAGGGTCAGGTGTATCTAGCTTAGTTGTTATTTACAGTCCTTGAGCTTTATTAGTCAATATCCCTAATCAGTTATCTCTTCTCTAAGACTTGGCTCTTTGAAATCAGAACTTATTGAATTAATATGCTTTCCTCCTGTCTTATTCTTATTAGGTTGTGTGTTTTCACAGAGGCTCTGTTGCACCTGGCCCATGTGAGCTCCTCCTGGAAGTTAAGTGGTGGAGTCCTGAACACCTGCCAGGCAGCCTTGGCCTGGGGATTTTGAAGTCATCATTAATGGGCAAAGTGTTCGCGTTCCTGAGAGAAACTTGCCAGTTAATCCTGGCTGAGTCTCAGCAGTACCCGGGGCAATCCACCTCGAAGAAGGAAGAGAACAACAACATGAAGAGGGAGAGAGAACATTTCAATGCCTGGGACAACCCTCATGGTCATTAGAACCTCCTATTTTTCTCTTTTTGACTTCATAGAAATGCTTCATTTACTTACTACACTCTGTTGCACTAGAGCTTTTTGGTTAATGGGTCCAGATCACTTGTGTCTCAGTTTCTGTGTCTGTGGAATGGAGATGATAATGGTAGTGAGCACAGAGGGTTGTTCCAGGGATTAAATGAGATAATCTGGGGAAACGGCTTTAAACCAATGCTTGCCACGTAATGTGCAGCATTAGTTTCTGCTTTTCTGTTACCCTTTACAAGTCTGTGTAGAATTGAGATGCTCTTACTGATTTGGGAGCAGAAATCTGCGATTACATGTTACACCTGGATTTTGATATTTTTACTGCCCTGTCTCTTATACACCAATGCCCATTCCCCAGGAATTCTGACATTTAGTGGTACTGCTTCCCTTTTAAATTGCTCACCTGTGGGGTCTGGTGAGTCTGTGCTGGGAAAAGAAAGGTTGGTTGCTAGTGGAACGGAGAATTGTTTTATCTTTTGGTTTTCTCATAGTTTGAAAGTTTCTACTGGATTTTAGTCTCTTGGGGTAAATTTAGAGTATGTGGATCTTCCCCAAAGTTTGACAGCCATTCTGACACAGCTGTAGAGACCAGTTGGGGAGGAAACTTGGTACCCCAGTTATGCTTTCAGAAAGTTTTTTTCCCTTTGCTCTTCCAACAACTGTTTGTGCAGAACTGTTTGTATCATTCATTTGTCAATGCATGATACACTTTTTGGGTGACATCTCCTTTCTGGTGGACTATTGAAACTTGTCTTGTTATTTAACTTCTCAAAGGTTCATGCATATCTCCTCTCAAATTTGTTTACAAGTTCCATAGTGAATTCTTTGTACATCTGAGATATTTCAAAGGATTTCATGTCCTCAGTAGATGCTAGAAAAACATTTGATTTTTGTTAAATCCTTTAACTGTGCTTTACTCTCAGTATTTTTTTTCTTTTCCTTTTATAGGCCTGGTTGGTTTACACAACATCGGACAGACCTGTTGTCTTAACTCCCTAATTCAGGTATTCATAATGAACGTGGACTTCACCAAGATATTGAAAAGGTAAGACTGTTATTCAGGTTAATTGATATGTATATTATTTTATGTTTTTTATTCAGTTACAGTGACTTGGACTTTAGAAGTCTTCTTTCAAAATTTGTCAAAGAAAAGATATTTTTTTCTGCTTTTCTGCATTAGAATTGCTTAAGAAGTTTTAAAAATACACAAATACCATATCCCACCTCCATTTACTTGGTTTCAGTTGGTCTGGGTTGGGGCCCAGACATTGGTACTTTTTAAATGCCTCCTTCTGTAGGTGATTTTTAAATGCAGCAGTCATTGAATTAGACCAATGTCAGAGAAACTGTCAGTGGAGCCAAGTGTGTGCATAGTTAGCATACTCATTCTTTTTGCCCCGTGCACTCTTCTTTTTTTCCTTCATTGACAGGAAAATTGAGAGATGCCTATAATTTAAGGAATCATTGCCTAAATACATGCCATCCCTTCATGTTGCACTTTCTACCCAGGACTTAACTTAGCATTTGCCTTTTCTGTTTGAAGTTCTTCAGACTGGACATTTCACTGCTTGCCTCATATGTGAACCCAGAATCTGGTGCATCTGCCCTTTATTCTAGCATGATTATTGGTCGGGGTGGAGTTGCTGAGGCAGCAGTTGTGTTGGTCCCCTTCTCAAGGGTATTCTGTTTAGCCAATTCACTAACATGGTGGTTCTTTACCTTGGTTACCCATTTAAATCATCTAGGTCCCACCCCCAGAATTCTGATTTAGTTTATATGGGGAGTGGTCTGGACATGGAGATTTTTTAAAAGTTTCCTAAGTGATTCCAGTATGTACCTCACATGGACGACTGTGGGTGAAAGGAGGTTCCTGGCTGTTCTTATTCGACAGGATAAAAGTGCCAAGGGAAGCAGGAGAACAGAGAAGAAGTGTTCCCTTCCAGCTTCTTTTGCTGCTGGAGAAGATGCAAGACAGTCGGCAGAAAGCAGTGCGACCCATGGAGTTTGCCTACTGCCTCCAGAAGTACAATGTGCCACGTAAGACAGTCCTTTCAGTTCTGGCTGCTGCCTACTGATCTAAAGAGGCTGGGAGCCTGGGAGGCAAGAGAGTGAGGAAAAGGGCAGTGAATGAATCAGGGCTCTGTACTTGGTGCACATCTGTGATTGTGGCAGTTTGTGAACCTGAGATAGGAGGATCCCAAGTTCCAGCTGGCCTGGCAACTTAGTGAAACCCTGTTTCAAAATAAAAAATTGGGGATATAGCTCAGTGGTACAACACCCCTGGGGTTCAATCCCTAGAAACACACACACACACACACACACACACACACCACACAATCACCAAGAAGGAAGTGAGGTGACCCTAGGCCCCTTATTTTTTTAATTTAATTTATTTTCTGGTTATAGGTAGACACAATATCTTTATTTTATTTTTATGTGGTGCTGAGGATCGAACCCAGTGCTTCACGCATGCTAGGCGGGCATTCTACCTCTGAGCTCCAAACCCTTATTTTTAAGGTATTGGTGTATATCTGAAATTTTTTTAAACTTTTGTTTATTTTAATATATATTTTTTGTGATTATTACCAGTTTACTATTTTTTCCAATGATTTTCTTTTTAAATTGGCATAACCATACGTTTATGGGATATATTGTGGTAATCTGATGCATTTTTTATAAGTGTGTAACAGTCAAATCAAGGTCATTAGCATTTCCCTTTCCTTAAACACTTTCCATTTCTTTGTGTTTCAAAGCTTTGAACTCCTCTCTCCTAATTGCTTATAAAGTGCATAATAAATAGTTGTCAGTAGTCACTCTACTGTGCTCTAGAACATTAGAACTTACTGCTACTATCTAACTCTATTTTGGTACCTGCTATTCAACATCTTCCCATCCACCCTTCTCTCTACCCTTCCTAATTTCTAATGGCTACCCTGTGACTTTCTCCTTCTTTGAAATCAACTGTTTGGTTTCCACATATAAATGAGAATGTGTGGAACGTGTCTTTATGTGTTTGATTTATTTCACTTAACATAATGTCCTCCAATTCCACCCATATTTTTGCAAATGACAGGATTTCATTCTTTTTAATGGCTGATTGATATTCCACTGTGGATAGATACCCACATTTTTTCACTCATTCATCGATCCATTGGTGAACATTTAGTTTTTTATTATTTCTTGGATATTGTGAAGAGTGCTGCAATAAATGTGAGAGTCAGATGTCTCTTTACCCAATTGTGTGTATTTATGCCAGTACCATGCTCTTTTGGTTATTGCTTTATAGTATGTTTTGAAGTCACGTGTTGTAATGTTTCCCTTTTTGTTCTTTTGGCTCAGGTTTGCTTCAGCTCTTCAAGGTCTTTTGTGGTCCCCTATAGATTTTTTTCTAGTTCTGTGAAGAATGTCATTGGTATTTTGATATTGTCCTCTTCAATTTCTTTCGTCAGTGGTTTATAATATTCATTATAGTGTTAGGTCCATTTGCTCTATACTATAATTTAACTCTGTTGTTTCTTTGTTGGTTTTGTGTCTGGATGATTTGTTCACTGATGAAAGTGGAGTATTGAAGTTCCTAAGTATTATTTTATTATTTATTCAGTCTAAGAATGTTTGTTTTATACAACTGTGTGCTACTGTGCTGGGTGAATATATATTTATAGTTGTTATAGCTTCTTGTTATCTCTTTATCATTCTGTAGTTATTTTCTTGTCTTTTTTATAATGTTTTCCTTATAGTCTATTTTTTTATGATGTAAGCTAGCTATTTCTGCTTGGTTTTGGTTTCTGTTTGTATGTTATATATTTTCCTGTCCCTTAATTTTTAATCTGTGTGTATCTTTACTGGTTAAGTGATTTTCTCGTAAAGGCATATTTTTGAGCCTTACTTTTAAAAATTCATTCATCCAGTCCATATCTTAATTAAGAGATTTAACCCATTTACATTCAAGGTTATTATTGATAAGTTGAGACCTATTTCTGTGACTTTGTTAAAAATTTTTGATTTTTTTGTGTATTTCTTGCTCCTTTCTTCCTTTCTTGTCCATTCTTATTGATGGGTGGTTTTTCTGTATTGGTAGGGTGTGATTCTCTTCTCTTTTTCTTTTGGTTCCTGCTTGACCATTGAGTTTTGTACTTTTGTGCATTTTTGTGGTGGTGGTCATCATTCTTTCTCTTCTGCCGAACTCCCTTAAGCGTTTCTTGTCAGCCTGGTGATGAATTCCCTTAGTTTTTGTCCTGGAGACTCTTTATTTCTTCTTCATTTCTGAAGGATATATCTGCTGGGGATAGTATGTTGATTGGCAATTTTTTTGTTAGTTCAAGATTTCTTTCCTGCTCAATGGAGGACTTTTAGATCAAATCTATTGGGACTCTTTTAAGCTTCCTGGACGTGAATATTTGTATCTGTCCCCAAGATTTAGAATGTTTTCATTGATTATTTCATTGAATAGATTTATTATGCCTTTTTCCTTCTCATCTTTTCTTTTGGGGGGTTACTAGGGATTGAACCCAGGGTGCTTAACCACTGAGTCACATCCCCAGCCCTTTAAAAAAATATTTATTTTTTAGTTTTAGGTGGACATAATATCTTTATTTTTATTTTTATGTGGTGCTGAGGATCAAACCCAGTGTCTCATGCATGCTAGGCTAGTGCATGCTAGTTGTGCCACTGAGCCACAACCCCAGCCTCCCCCAGCCCTTTGTATTTGTTTATTTTGAGACAGGGTTTCACTAAGTAGCTTAGGGTCTCACTAAGTTGCTGATGTTAGTCTCGAACTTGTGATCCTCCTGCCTCAGCCTCCCAAGTCACTGGAATTACAGGTGTGCTCCACCATGCCTGGCTCCTTCTCATCTCTCAGTTAAAAAAATTTTTTTTGTAGTTATAGATGGACAGCATGACTTTATTTTATTTGCTTTTTTTTTGTATGTGGTACTGAGGATTGAACCCAGTGTCTCACATGTGCCACGTAAGCACTCTGACACTGAGCCATAGCCCAAGCCCTCCTTCTCATCTCTTGTAGCACCCACTGTATGAATATTTGCTTATTTAATTGTGTCCTGTGGACCTTAATGGCTTTTTTAGTTCTTTAAAATTAGCTCTTTTTCATTTCATTTCTTTTTTTCCCCCCAAAGACCTGTGTTCAAGCTTGGACATTGTTTCTTCTGCTTGACTAGTTCTTCTGTTAAGGATCTCAAATATATATTGTTCAGTTTTTAGCACCACAATTTTTGAATGGTTCTTTTTTATTATGTCTTTGCTAAATTTCTTATTTATGTCATGAATTCTCTTTGTATTTTTCATTGACTTGTCTGTCTGTATTCTCTTGAATCTCAATAAGTTTCCTTAAAAGTCATTCTTTTGAATTCTTTGTCAGGTAATTTGATGACTTTCTTTTCTTCAGGGTTTGTTCCTAGAGAGTTATTAGGTTCCTTTGGAGATATTATATTACCTTGTTTTTTCACGCTTTTCTTTCCCATATGTTGGAATTTATGCATCTAGTGGGTCAGTTTTCTCTATTAAAAAAAGTGAGTATTTGTGTTTCAGATTTAGAGGAAAAACTCAACTTCTCCCCTTAAGTATAATATCTTTGAGTTTTTCACATCTGACCTTTATTGAGTTTTCTTTGTATTTAAATTTTTTAGTTGTTGATGGACTTCTATTTTATTTATTAATTTATTAATATGTGGTGCCGAGAATGGAACCCAGTGCCTCACACATGCTAGGCAAGCGCTCTACCACTGGACTACAACCCTAGCCCTGAGTTTGCTTTCTCTTTTTTGCCAGAATTTTCATTGCTTTTACAGTGGAACAGATTTATGGAGGCCCTCACTTTATCATTTCAGATGTATTTTTTCCTTCTTTTAGCCTTTCATGGCTACAGAAAGGAAAGAATTTTTAGGGAATTTTTCTTTGAATTATGATTATTTGGATACCTGTTCTCCATTAGAATAGAGGTTTCTTGGTGACAGAAATTTTCTTTAGTATGTTTTTTTCATGGCAATTTTTATGGCATCTGCCTTGTCCTAGCCGATGTTAAGTATGTTGTGGGACAGGCAAATGACTATTTCTTAGATGAATGGGGACTCTTGGTTCTGGGATGGCCAGATAATGGCAAATTGTCTTTAAATGGTAACATGATCCAATTTCCTTTACAATCAGTGTCAGCTCTGTGGTAGGACATAATTCTTCTGTACACTATTCCCTGGAAAGCACCAATTTAACCCTACTAATAGAATGTTTCTCTTTTGAGTTTGGAATTCACTGCATTGGAATGTAGATTAATCAATCTATTAACTTATATGTAAGTTATATGTAAGTTCACTGATTGAGTGCCAGATACTATAGTGCCAGGTTTCTATGCATAAGGAAATAAGGCTGAAAGAGTCTTTGCCTCCATGAAACTCACAGTTTAGAGTCAAGACAGACACAAAACCAAACCAAAACCAATACAAACTAAAAAATGTTAAGTACAAGTTGTGATAAGTATTATGAAGGAAAGAAAATGTTTTTTGGGTGTAAGATTTTAGCTAATTTACAATAACTACCTTTTCTTGCAATATCTTTGCATTTTTTGCACTTATCTGTCCTTTTTAAAAATAGCCCTCAGTGTTTTTCATTATCTTTAACTTTCTAGTTTTCTTTTTAACAATACTATTAAATTTGATTATATCTGCCTTACCTTCACTTATAAAACAGATATAGACTTCACTGCTTAATTCCTGCTTCCTCTTATCTATTATCATCTGACTGTAGGATGGACCTTTCCCTCCTTGTCCTCCTAGGAACCTATGGGAAAACCTAGGTCACATACAGGAATTGGGGATAGTGCTCAGATTTTAGGGCACTGAATAAGAAAACACATCAAGGGACAGAGAAATGAGAGACCTTAGGAGTACAGTGAGAGCATTGGCTTTGTGTAGACACAGGAGAGAATTACTGGATCTATCTAGGTGGGTCCCCTGGTGACAGTAGAGATGGACAGTGAAATTTGGGTCATGTAATGGTTGGACTATGGCTTAAGTTTTTAGAGGATCTGTCAAAAATCAATATATAAATTACTTTTCATTTTTTGAGCACCTAAAATGTAGTGCAAACTTAGCTGTTTTGGGTGTGGGAGAAGGCTAGGAAAAGATGAAGTGGTGAATGAGCATCTTGGTAGCTAGGGCACAAGGGCATGAGTAGTCTCCAGGGATCTGGCTAATTGTGATGTTACTTCTTTTTGGCCAGTGTTTGTCCAGCATGATGCTGCTCAGCTTTACCTTACAGTCTGGAACCTAATTAAGGACCAAATCACTGACATGGACTTGGTAAGATCCTGGAACAAGAGAACTCAGAGGTTTAGGATGCTACTCATATAACTCATTCAAAAATGTTTATGTAAGACGGAAAAAAGAATTAATTCATATACAATGCTTAGTACAGTTCCATAATATAATTACTCTTTTGCACCTATATATGTAAGACAATGAACTTTAGTGGCTACCATTTCTGGAGCTTTCGTCTTCTTGATCCAACTTCTGATAATAGGCCTGAGATGGTTTAGGGCTTTTTCCCTGACTTACCTCTTTCCTCCTTCCTCTTGCAGGTAGATAGGTTGCAGGCCTTGTACATGATCCGGATGAAGGAGTCCTTGATTTGTCTAGACTGTGCCAAGGAGAGTAGCAGAAACAGTAGCATGCTTACTCTCCCTCTTTGTCTTTTTGATATGGACTCAAAGCCCCTGCAAACACTGGTGAGAAACTTTTCTTGGTGGATTTGAACACTCCAATGTTGCCAATCCCTCGTTGCTTCTTTTATCCACCTTTGGCTTTGTATTTCATTTCTGTGGCTTTGCTCAAGTTCTCCTTTGACTGGCAAAATCAATCAATTAATTAATTAAAATTAATTAATAAAAAACTTCTCACCTACTTTCACTTTACTCAAAATGTTTCCTTAAATGTGCTCCTCCCATTTTATTTCTCCAAATAGTGGAATCTTTATTCTTTTTGAGATTCTACTTAATGTACTGCACTGGGCCAGACATTTAGGGGAGCTTGGAGAAAACTGGACATAAACCTTGCATCCCTACCATAGGGGTGTAGGGGATTGTTCTCTAGATGGTAAATACCAACATTGCATTTTTCTTGTTCTGGATGAGACAGGAGGATGCCCTACGCTGTTTCTTCCAGCCCAGGGTGTTATCCAGCAAGTGCTTCTGTGAGAACTGTGGGAAGAGGACACATAGCAAACAGGTACTTCTTAAATTCAGCTACTTCACTAGTCTGGGTTTGCCCCTAGTGGACTTCCTGATATCATCTTTCCAGACCCCTAAGGGTACCTCATGCTGGTTGAGGAGGGAATTTGGATTAGGCTAGTATCTGGTGTTTTAGGGCTTCTGATTTTCATAGCTGTGGATGTGGCTTCTCTCTCACTGAGAGAAACAGAGCCTTTTAAAGAATAGAGAAGATTCGAAAGAAGTGGTTAGGTTTTCCCCTATGAGATAGACTAGCTTTCTAGAGCAGACTCCATAGTTACTCTGGTTTCAGGAGCCTCTGTAGAACCCTGGGGCTGCTGGTGCCTTCTGTGGAAGATGTGCAATGGTGTGGTAGTCAAATGTGACATGACTCTTGGAGGAACCCAACAGATTCAGTGAAATGGAACCCTTAACTCTATGTTAGATCATGCTGAATTCCTCTTTTGGAGAAGAACATTCTACTAGCCCTGATATTTTTCTGTCTTTCCATTTCAAGTGCTTTAGGACTTCACTCCACAGTGATTTTGCTTTTTCAGGACTTGAAGCTGACCCATTTGCCCCAGACCTTGACCATCCACCTCATGCGATTCTCCATCAAGAATTCACGGACAGAAAAGATCTGCCACTCACTGTATTTCCCCCAGAGCTTAGATTTCAATCAGGTTCTTTCAAATGAGCAAGTCCTCGGTGATGCCAAGGAACAGGTGAGATGTTCTTTCCCATTATATATCAATCTTATCAGGCACTACAGCCTTAAGATTCTGCCTTCCTGGACCCCTCAGCTGCTAGAAGTCGCCTGCTCAGAAGTTCTATAGTCCACATCAATGATGCAGTCTGTGTGGTAGAGTGATGTCAGGTTCCAGACTGTGATGGTAGAGTCAAGCAGCATCATGCTGGGCAAACACTGGCAAGGTGAATGGGAGCATTTCAGTTTTCGGTGGACACACATCTTTATTTTATGTGGTGCTGAGGATCGAACCCAGTGCCCCATGCATGCCAGGCGAGCGCGTTACCGCTTGAGCCACATCCCCATCCCCTATCTGAGAAATCTTGTCCTCTGCTGCCATGTTGGGATGTTCAAAGGGAGGAAAACCCAATCATAGCTTGGTGTGATTCATGGAAGCATACACAGATTCAAGACACACTTATTTTTAAACAATATTTAAATGTGGTCTTATGGAACAATGGCAGATTTTATCACCTCACTCTTACTACCAGACTTTGCTGTTGATTATGACTTTAATTTTCTCTTAAGATTCAAAAAACTTTCTTATTTCTAAACATTGGGTCTGTACTTAAAGGCCTTGAAGGATTGAGGGAAGGAACTCATAATTCAGTTCTTTGCTTTTAATTTTAAAAAGCGTGCATTGATGAGCCACACAGTTCTATCCTGACCCCTGCATCACAAATGGTCAGATTTCATACTTTAAAAAAAACTTGATTTCATTTATGGCTCTGTAGACATTTGTGTGTGCTTGAATGGTGCTTGATTTCTAGTTTTTATTTGTCATATTCTCTTATAAAATTTGCATTATTTGGCAAAAATAATGTTATTTTGAAAAAAATAACACATGGAATAGGTATAAATGCATAAGTGCAACTTTATTATTAAAATAGCCAAGGCCTACTTTGAAGGTAATAAGAAAGTAGTAAGTTGATTGGGCCAGATTTAATCAGAGGAAAGTTTCATTTAGTTGTCATGATATGACATTATATTCATTTATGGACATTATATTAATTTATTGGGAGATGCTGAGGAAAAAAATGACATAAATATCCTTTGTTCATAGGTTTGAAATACTACATTCAACAAATTTTGCATTTCCATATATATGGGTCAGTTTTTAGAACATTGTTTCTTTTACATTTTCTGTTTGTCTATTTATGCTCAGAACCATGCTATTTAAAAAGTTAAGTAAAACCTTAAGTCAGGTGCTGTGGCCCATACCCATAATTCAGCTACTCAGAAGGTTGAGGCAGGAGCATCCCAAGTTTGAGGCCAGACTGGGCGACTTAGTGAGATATTGTCTCAAAAGGGCCCTTGGGTTCAATTCCCAGTAATGAAAAATAAATTAAGGACTGATAATATGTTACAACAATATTCAGTTTATCAGGACCTCATAGGATTCTTCCTTTCTCTCTTTCCAGTTTTTCTTATTTCTCCCTACCTAGTTTTGTCTGATGAATTATATTTAAAATTTCTTCTGCTTAAAAAAGACTTTGTTATTAAAAATTTCAGATACATACCAAAGCACAATGAATTCACATGTATCCATCAAAGAGCTTAACAGTTTCCGAAACTAATGGTCAATCTTGATCTATCTCCACCTTCATCCTCTTCTTTTATCCCACCCTTAACTAGATTCAAGACACACTTATTTTTTAAACAATATTTTAAAGCAAATCCCAGACATCATGTGCTGAATTTTATGAATATTTCATTATGTCTCTCTAAAGAATAAACACTCTTTTTCTAAATATAGCTAACTCTAACTTATAATTCCTTAATATTTTCAAATATCTAGCCAGTGTTCAGATTTCTTCTTTAATTTGTGTGGTTTGTTTGAATCTAGATCCAAACGAGGTCCATGTTTGCATTTGGCTTCCCTTTCCCTCCTCCTTCCCTTCCTTCCTGTTAAATTTATTTTAGGTTTTGCCTGCCGTTTTTTTTTTCTTGTAATTTATTTTGTTGAATTTTTTATATTCCATAATTGGCTGGTTGGTGTCATTTAACATATTCCTCTAAACTCTACTATTTCTTGTAAACTGATCATCAAATCCAGGTATTGTTCTGCATTTCAAAAAAAGTTCAATATAGAGCCCTTAAGTAAAAAGAAGTATAGAGTAAGTGGGGCCCTCCATTTTGAGTGAATTAACTTCACTTGCTCTGCCTCACACCCTATCCCCTTCTTCCATTCCATTTCCAAAGTCTTAGGTTAGGGGTGTTTATATGAATGTGGAGAAACTAGAATGAAGTGTTCCTTTTTAAAAAAGTACTTTACAGAAAATGCAATTTTATTTATTTTTAAAAAATCTAAATTAGTAATTGATTTTTACTTTTTACATGCTATTTTAATTTTAATAAAATAAATTCATATTACATAGAACAAGTGTATCAACTACACTCATTGTTGATAAAATTTTAGAAATATTTGAAATTGGTTAATTGATCTAAAATAACATAAAAATTGTGTATGTTTATGGTGTACAACATGATGCTTTGATATACGTATACATTGTGGAATGAATGATTGGGTTAAACTAATGAGCACCTTCATTACCATATGTATATATTTTTTGTGGTAAAAACATTTATAATCTATTTTTTTAATTTTTGTGTGGTACTGGGGATTTAGCCCAGAAGCATTCTACTTCTGAGCTGCATCCCCAGGCCTTTTTATGTTATTTTTCAGTCAGGGTCTTGATAAGTTGCTCAGGCTGGCCTTGAACATGTGATCTTCCTGTCTTAGCCTCTCAAGTAGCTGGGATTATAGGTGTGTGCTACCAGACCCAGCTTAAAATCTATTTTTTAAAGTAAAATTGTAGTTTCTAATATATTACTGTTAATTATAGTTATTATAGTTACTGTACTGCACAAGAGATTTCCAGAACTTCTGCCTCATAATGGAAACTTAGTATTTCTTGGCCAACCTCTTACCATTCCCCTCTACTCCAGCCCTGGTAACTACTATTCTGCTCTCTGCTTCTGTTGAATTTGACTTTTTTTAGAGAGAAGAATTGTTGACATGTTGACTAACATGGAGATCAATCAAAACTCTCTCTTATCAGTATTCCTTTTTCAAAGAGAATTATCTCTTTTTTGATTTTCTAAGATTTTGAGGGAGTAGAATGATTTACTGCAATGTCTAATGAATGCTTTTGGGCTTTTCCCCTAAATATTTCTGTGATATTCCATGTTATTGATACTTAAAAACATCAACTTACCCTAAGTTTCTCGCATAGGGTTTCTTCTTCCATTGCTAGATCATTTTCTGCATGTCAGTTTAGCTGAAACGTAGGTTTAGTTCTATTCCTTCTTCTCTCAATATTTTGAAGATCATCTCATAAATTCTAATGGATTCAATAATTGTCTCAAACTGAAGGTTTCTGAGTCCATATCTTCTGTTGAGTTTTTTTCTTGGTCTCCACACCAGAGTTTTTACCTTCCAATTTAATATTCTCACAGTCTCCAAATTCATTGTCCTTAATTTCAAACAGCGCTGTTTCATGTTGACTTTATAGTATCAACATCTACCGAATTACCAAGCCAGAAATCTGGGATTCATCCATGTGATGCCCCCCATGCCCCTACCTAATTCAATCAGTTACAAAGCACCTTTAATTATTTCTGCCTAATTTTGTACAAATCTGTCCCTTCATTTCTACCTTTACTCTTATGTTCTTCAGAGTATGAACTGGGTTTCAATCTACCTCTTTCATTTGTTTTGGCCTTGGTTAAATTATCTTTTTTTCCAGAGCTCAGATTGTACCTCTGTTAGATAGAGCATTACTAGTACCCACCTCAGAGTGTTGTTTATTAAATGAAATAATTTATGTAAAAACCAACTGCATACTAAATGCCAAAAGTTAGCTAATAATAATGATTATTATCACTTTAATGACTAACACTGACAGTAATCATTCAGGTTATACCATTTCTTCCTCACTGTATTTTTGTATTTTAATTTATCTCATTGACTTCCTATCACACATGAACTTTCCATTTATTTTTTCAAAGTACATTGTTTCAGTGGTTTTTCTCAAAAATAAATCTGATGATGTTGTTTTTTCCTTAAAATTGTTTGAATGTTCTCCCTCATTCATGGGATAAAGTTCTAATTCTTTTCTTTTTTAAATTTTGAGATAGGGTCTCACTAAGTTTTCCAGGGTGGCCTTGAATTTGAGATTTAAGTACCTGGGATGAGAGGCTAAAGTTCTAATTCCCAACTTGGTCTGTGAAGATTACCATTTTCTTAATATTCTTTGCTCTGTTAAGCTGCTGAATCTTTGCAGTTTCTGGGTTTGCATTAAAAATACTGCCTTCTTATAACTTGCCTGCTGATCTTATCCATCCTTTAAGGTCAGTTAAAACAGTCCTTCACTGGTAAGCTTTCCCTAGCCCCTTAGCCCTTCCTTAGCTGTTCATTCCTTCTTCTTTTTTTGGGGCAAAAATGGATTCTTCCAAAATTACCTGTAAATATACTTTTTTTAAAATAAAACATGCCATTATAGTTCGGTTTATATACTTGTTCTTCCATTAGCAATGAGATTTTTGAGGTCAAGGACTTTTTCCTAGTATCTTTGAAGTACCAGTGCCTGACAAAGAGCAGGAAGTGAATAAATGTGTGATGACTTAATATTTCCTTTTTCAAGTCTGAGTTTAGAAAAAGAGGGGGTGAATCATTTTATGCTTTGTCTTCTTCCAGTCTGAAGGGCAGTTTGAACTCTTTGCTGTGATTGCCCATGTGGGGATTGCTGACTTGGGTCATTACTGTGCCTATATCCGGAATTCTGTGGATGGAAGATGGTTTTGCTTCAACGACTCCCATGTTTCTTGGGTGAGAAACAACACCAAAAATTGCCTCTTACCCTGAACTATCCACCTGTAATAAGTTCTGAGGATCTTCCTGGATCCTCAAGGCCAAGACACAGTATGGTATTGTTCTTTGTGTGTGAGGGTGGGTTATGACTTCAAAACCCTATTCTGCATGAAATCCCTATCTGGTTTATAGCTTTGTAAATCTCTGTAAGAGGCCATTACCTCAATGTCCAGGTTTCTGGTGCTGTGGACTCCTTGCTCTGTAGCTCCTTGCTCTGTGGGAAACTTCTGTAAAGCAAGAAGAGTTATAGATATGTAAGATATATACATACATATGTATGTAACTCTGGGGAAAGCATGACCAAGTTCAAGAGGAGGAATGAGGCTATTAAAAATACTATTATGCGTGACATACTATAATTAGATGCTCCAGCTCTTGGGAGTTACTAGGGTGGGTTTGTCTAGAGGAGTGAAAGAGGGCAAATTGCAGCATCCTATATTCTGTGGATATTTAGTAAATGGTCAGCCAGGTGCTGACTTCTGTTTATGTACTTCTAGGTGTCCTGGGAAGACATCCAGTGTACCTATGGAAATCGTAATTATCGCTGGTAAGAGAAGTATTTGGGTGATGGAAACCTGATGAATTTAAGCTGATTCTTGGAGCTGTATGGAACTCTCATGGACTTAGCCATTGCTTATATTCTGATGGCTTTCCAGGGACTAACCATTCAGCCTCATTTGTCAGCACCCATCCCTCTACACCATAGTGTTCTAACAATTTAGACTCCAGTAATCCTCAAGTATAAGTGACCATGTCTGCCATCTTCCCCTTCTAACTACACATAAGGAGTTTCTGCATTGCCCTCTCCTGATTTACCTTTTGTGCAAACTCCCCCTCACATTTCAATACTCATGACTTTCTCTGCTCATCAAAGTCTTATTGGTTGACCTGATCAGATTTGTAGGGGCTTCTTGTGTGCTTTTATTGCATCTTGAGCATAACTCCATCATAGCAGGAATCACGCTGTTTTTAAATTGTTTTGATACATCCTTTCTTTCACATTAGACCTTTGTACTCTTTGGGGAGAGAAAGATCATTTTTTTCATATTTCTTTGTCTGGTATAGTGGCTTGCATTTAATAAGTATCAAATAATACTTTTTAAATTGGTAACTATGTCAGGGAAGGAAGCTTTAACTTTATCAAGTTAAAACAGAGAGACTTTGTAAGTTTTTCTGGCTGAGTTTCTGGAATAGGAGTGACAGTGTATGCCAAAGATGATATTAAAGATGATTTTCAGTTGCAGAGATAGGTTCTATTATTTGAAAGTAACAAATTAGGTGTAATTTGTGTTTGAAGCCTTTCTCAGGCTTCTTCTTTTTCATATTTCTCTTCTATTTCTTCTAAGCTATCTTTCTTACATGTCCAGTCTTTGTTGTAGTTATTGATTGATCCATGATTTAGATTAGGGATTGTCAGACTTAACTCTGTAAAGGACCAGAGAGAAAATATTTTAGGTTTTATGGGCCATAGTCTCTGTTTCAAGTACCCAACTCTGTCATTTTAGCATAAAAGAGGACACAGACAGTACATGAATGAATTAATTTAATTGGCTATGCTTCACTTACATTTATTTGCAAAAAACAGGGTTGGTCTTGGCTCATGGTCCCATAATTTGTCAACATATGATTTAGATATTAACTAGTAGCATATTTAGTGGTTATTTCCCACCAAGTCACTATTTTGTTTCTCTCTGAAGAGTTGTTTTTTGTTGCTGTAACAAAATACATGAGGCTGAGTAGACGAGGCTGAGTAGATAATGGATAGCTGAAGGTTTGATTCAACAGCCTGGAAGTTTGCTAATGCTTGTCCTATCATGAAATAATAATATTGTTTCACTATCAGTGGTTCATTTTGCTATGCTGATGAATTTTCTCATCTTTCTAGGCAGGAAACAGCATATCTTCTGGTTTACATGAAGACTGAGTCCTAATGGATATTTATTCTATATCTTCAGAGATTGACAGACTATCATTTTCCTTTCCTATTCTTGGATCTATTGACTCTTGTATGAGATTCTACAATGAAAAAAAGCATCACTTTCCAACTGTATAGTTACATGTTATTTATAATCAGGTGGGGATTATGTTTTGGATCTGGTTTGTCTTTCAAAGGTTCATGTGCTGGAGACTTGGCCAAACATGGCAGTGTTGAGGTGGTGGAAACTTTTTAAGGGGTGGGGCCTGGTGGGAGGTAAGTAAGTTCATTGTTTTTCCCCTTCTTCATTATGATGGTTCCCTTTCACTTCTCAACCATGTTCTGATTGCCAGCTTGTTGGCATCATGCTGATAAGACCTTCCAGTCACCAGAATGTGAGCCAAATAAATGTATTTACAAAGTACTCAGCCTCATGTATTTTGTTATAGCAACAGAAAACATATTAGCCCAATTATCATACTAGTTAACAATGATATTGCACAGGTCAGAATCAAAATGTGTACTTTTATCTGTAGATCCTGGCCACATGGCTAGATAAGGGTTATCAGTGTTACTTACTTTGAAAGACATTAACTCTCTAGTTGGAGGATTGTATTTAGTTGAGGGAGTCCAAGTAATTCCCATGGAAAAAAACACTGGTAGTGGAAGGCATTTGGATAGCAAGGGGCAGTGGTAGGGAAGTCAATATTTCAATATTTTACAACTATTGGGACCATACTGGTTTGTACTGGCTGAATATCAGTTCCATTTATAATTTGTTACTCATTTAATTGGAAACTATGTATTGATCACCTGTTCTCCATCAGATAATGTACAGGCACAATAACATTCTTTCCATCGAAAGGAGTTTGCAGCTTAATCAGGGATAATTAAAACCCATAGGATACTGAATGTTTGTGCTATAGGAATTCAAAGGATAGTTAATCACTTCTATTGTGAGGCCATAGGAGAAGACTTCAGACTGGAAAGAGGTTGGGTTGAAGAACAATCCATTTGTAGGGAAAACATACTCAGTGGCTTGAAAGGTTTGAAAAAATCCACAAACCTGGATTCCCTACACAAAAGAAAAAGTGGTTATGGGAAGGGAGGTGAAGCTCAGAATGTGTGAGGCTCAAACTAGCTAAGAAATTTGTTTCAAATTTGAAAGGAAATGAATTTAAGTGGCTAAAAAAGTAATCATTAGTTGTGTTCTGTTAATTAATCTTTAAAGTGGCTGGTGATGTGGATTAGATAAAGGTATGATAGTGGAAATGGAAAGACATTCAGAGCCCCTGGAGCCATTTTGGAGGAAAACGGATGTGGGTGATAGGAGAAATCCAGAGAGTCCAATACCAACCAGTAAGGTGAACAGGGTGGGTGTTAACATACTCTGACCTTTGCCATCCAGGAGGCTCAGTTATTGGTTTGTGTTAGGTAACCTGCCAAATGCTGGGAACTCAAGGATAGGATATTAAAGCAGGCAGGATATTAAACATGACCCTTTGTGTCCAATCATGCCAAGTTCACAGGAGAGTTTGTCTTAACAACAGGCTTCAGTTCATAAAGGGCTTTGTTGTGTGGTTAGTGCTAGGAACACAACTGTCCCAGGGTCATCTGCCTGGTGTTATAGTTTAGTAGATGTGAGTGCAGGCCTCTCACATTTTTGAGGGTGATGGGAGGCATCTTTTGCACAAACATCATCCTTAACTGCCCCCCAAAACAAAGGTGTTTGGATTTCTTAGTCTGAGAGTGAACATTGGATCATTGGTATCACAATGTTTGCATCTAAGAGAAATCAGCCTTTTGCTTCTGTCATACAGTGCCCATTGTCATGTCAATTCATGCTGACATACCAGGTTTGTGACAGTTGGCCTCTGCTCAATTCTCTTTTTCAATTTTGTTTTTGATTTTGCTACAGCCTGACTTGCATTTTTTTCTTTGCATTTACTTACTGTAACTGTCACACAACAAAAAATTTTAAATTATTTTCTAAATAAATTCTGGTCAGTATGATACCAGAAAGTGTGCATCTTTCCTCTCCCTGTTTTCTGCATTTAAAAAAGGGACAGAGCACTTCAGTTTGTTTTGTTTTTGTTTTTGCTCTGTCTTTAAAATGTACTTTTAAAGTTCATCATGTACCCTTTTGCCATAAATTCCTTTTGGCTCAAGAGAGAAATATTTTTAAAACTTGGTTAAAAATTTTTTTTGTAGGACTCTTGAATTTGGGGTACTGTTTTAGTTACCAAAAGATCTGACAAGAACAATGTAGAGAAGAAAAGATTTTAGTCTGAGGCTAATGGTTTCAGAGGTCTTAGTCTGTTAGGTTGTAGTTAGCAAAGAGCAGTGAAATGCATGGCAAGATAGGTTTACTTTATGCTACTCTTACTGTTAAGTGGAGGTGGCTAGAACAAAGTACCAAGCAACCATCACATGCAAAATAGCCACGAATCAGGCACTGATGGAATCGCCTGTCAATCAGTGGGGTCTCCTGGCCAATCCTGGGTCTTAGCCAGCTCCCCCGCAACCCCAGTAGGACAAGGGACTCTAAAAACCTCTTTTCCTGTCTCAAGTCCTCCCTTCCTGCTCTAAGCCCAGTAAAAATTCCAGTCAAGTTGAGGCCCCCCTGTGCTTCTCCTTAGACCCTCTTCTTACTTGCTCTGTCAGTCTGAGGGTTCTGCCTGGGAGTGAAATCTCAATAAAGCCTCGTTCAGTGGCCTTTTAAAATCTGCCTCCTTTTGGTCACCGCTGCCTGACCTTATACTTAAAGTCTTCTTTAAGTCACTGCCAAGGTGGATAAGTAAATAATTTGTAATGGATAAACTGCAGAAAAACATTGGTAGAGCCTGTAGAAACAATTGGGAGTGTTCTCTGCTTAAGCCTCACTTTGCTTTTACTTTATTTTCACCTCACTTTCACTCTACTATCATGTAAAATAAAGTTCTCTTGCATGACTTTTGATGTCTGACCTTACATTTTCTTTCACTGGAACACAAGACTGAGGTTTGAAGTTTCAGTTCCATGCTTTCCTGTGACAAGTCCACAGTTGGCTGACTCCTTTGCTTTGGCCCAAGGTGAGTTAGAACATCTTGGTGAAAGAGTATGGTGGAGGAAAGCAGCTCAGGACATGGCAAAAGGGAAACAGAGTAAGCTCTGCTCACCAAAGACAAAATACAAATCCTTAAGACATGCACACAGAGACCCTTACCTCCTCCAGATACACACAGATAAGGATTATTCCTCCTAACCATAAAATCTATAAGAATTTATGGTTAAGAACTTAATTAGAACTAGTCAACATGGGCCAAAGGGACCTAGAGTTGTCATGGCAGTGGGAAATTGAGTCTGATGTCATTCTGCTGTCAGTCAAAAGTCAAAAAGTGGACTTGGGTGGGACTCTCTGGAAATTTCTGTGAGATACCCAATAAAACTGGGATTCAGGAGAGGCACACTATCCTCTCTCCTCTCTGAGAGGACCCACGCTCTCACCTAAGAGTGTCCCCTTACCCTTACCCTACTCCTTGAGTAAACTCATTGATATTACTCTGAGCAACATATTTGAAATCTTTCTGACTTGATTCCAAGAATCAGAGGTTGAAAGAGGTCCTTTGCACTGCCTCAATTTTCTGGAATTCCCCAGCCCTGTAACAGTTTGTCTTTGAAATACCTTAATAAGCTCTCTCCTTTATTTTTTAGTTCCATTTCAGTTATGGAGAAAAAGCAAAGAAAATGGCGCGGGGTGGGGGGATACTGCTATCATGAGGTAAAATAAACCAATATTTTAAATCAAGGGCAAGTGACTCAAAACCACACATGTACACATAAGACCAAATAATAATAAGACTTTAAGCAAGATCTCTAAAGAGTGAAAAAAGAATAGGGGTGGTGGGATATCTCTCTCAAAATCCAGAACAGTTCTAATGTTGGCCTAATGGAATAAAGATTTACTAGTCACAAATGGAGGTATAACAGACATTTTTGCCTGGTCATAATTTGGGGGTTTATTTATTTAATTATTATTGGCTGACTGATAACCTTATGAATGTTCCCTTAAAGAGTCAAAAAGAGATAACACCTGGCCTATGAAATTGTAGCATGAAGCATGGGGTTGAATGGACCAGATGAGAGCAAAGTGACAGATTTATTATAGTAATAGAAAGAAAGCAGAGGGAGGGGTTCCAAGAGATTGATACTGAAGAGTGGCTATTGTCTAGAGGTTTGTTTAAGTCTATAGGTTTAAGGAATCCAGTCCTCTGCCCAATCCTGGGTAAGGTACTCCGTGTTTAGAAGGTATTCATTAAGGCTTTAGTCCAATCAAAATATCCATTAGGAATTTTTTATTCTTTGAAGAGACATGGATCCCAGTCACATAGATCTGATTTAAAATAGCCTCTTTTCAAGTGTTTCAGCAAATATCTGCAGCTGCTGTTGCTCTACTCTCCAGGGTGAAAGGTGAGTAACTCACCTGAGACAGAGATTCAACCAAGAGATTTGATTGGGGGACTGCCTGAAGGAGAGGCAGAGAGCAGAGAGAAGAGGGCAGAGAAAAAGAGAGGAAGAGAGCAGAAAGCGGAGAGAAGAGAAGAAGAGGAGGGCAGAGAGAGAGAGCATGTGCTTACAAGTTTTGGCTTTAGAAGGGTTGCATAGGGGACATGGCTGGTGCTGGTTGGCAGGGTGACTCAGGACCAGCAAGCAGACACTGGGTCCTGTGTGTCCTGCGGGGATTGGTTGAGAAAACCTTTGAATTTGGCTATCTTCTTCAGCTTGGTGCCCTTTGGAGAGGAGGGGGAAGGGTAAGGGATGCCATGATGTTCTCTCAGAAGGGGGAGTCTCCCACACACCCAACATTCCTCCCTTTTTGTTTTTGTTTTTGGGAGTAGGGTGAAAAAACTCTCTGGCTACTTCCTGCTGGACAGGGATGAAGAGTAAAGGAAGGAAGGAATGGTCAGGGTGTGGGGACAAGAGAAGCATAGCTGTAAAGACCAGGGCACTAAAGATGTGAATTTCCTTGGGGCCAAAATCAATGAAAGTTCCTCGAAGCCATAGGTCATGGATAGTCTTGATCCAATCCTTGTCCCTGCAAATGGGGGGAGTCAGCCAGCTGTCCTGTCAGAGGGCCTCCATGAACTCCACGAACCAGGTGTGCCACATGGTGAACCTAAGAACACCAAAGATACCCGAAGGCAAGGAGAAGAAGAGGGGAGAGGATACACCACATTATCTTCTGGGGGGAGGTCCAGTGAGAGGAACTGGCTGAGAAAAGACCAGAAGTCAGGAGGAGGCACACGAAAGCAAATGGGCCTAGAAACCCTGGGAAACAGGCTAGTGAAGTTCTTGCAGTCGGGTTTCCATTTTGTAGCTCCATATCCATGATGGTGAAGTTCCGTCAGCCATTGGTGAGGCCTTCACGTAAGGGACAGGTGTCCT